AACGGGGGAGGGGCAGAGAGAGAGGGAGACACAGAATCGGAAGCAGGTTCCAGGCTCTGAGCCATCAGCCCAGAGCCCGACGTGGGGCTCGAACTCGCGGACCGCGAGATCGTGACCTGAGCTGAAGTCGGACGCTTAACCGACTGAGCCACCCAGGCGCCCCGTTTTAAAAAAATTTTTAATGTTTACTTATTTTTGAGAGAGACAGACAGACAGAGTGCAAGTGGGGGAGGGGAAGAGAGAGAGGGAGACACAGAATCTGAAGCAGGCTCCAGGCTCTGAGCCATCAGCACAGAGTGAGTTCGATGCAGGGCTCAAACTCAGGAACTGCGAGATCATGACCTGAGGCAAAGTTGCCACCCGGATGCCCCAAGATTGAAAATTCTTAACTTAGATAACTTTATTCAATCAAAAAAAGAGATTTTTTTGATCTACATGGTAAGTCTACATGGTATTTTTCACTTTACACAATTTATCCTACAACAGTAATCCAAAATACAGAAAAGTCCATCTAGTTTTCACTGCACCATCGTTTACAGTGCTTAAAAACTGTACAGAATGCGAATGCCCAGTAGATGTGCTTTGATTAAACAGCATTTTAAAAAGCGTACTTGCCATTATCTGTGTATATTAAGACGGATATTAAGTACAATACACTTAACTACACAAACGCAAACACTGGCAATGAGGTGAGAACACAGGACTAGCAGATGTACTGAGATGACGGACTCTGAATACAGCTGACCCTTGAACAATGTGGCAGTCAAGGGCGCAGGCCCGTGAAGTCAAAAATCCCAGTAGAAGTTCTGACTACACGAAAACCTAACTACTAAGAGTCTCCTGTTGATAGGAGCCTCACCAATAACATAAACAGTCTATGAACACCTATTTTCTGTGTCAGATGTATTAATACTACATTTTCCCCCTTTGTGCTTGCCAAAACAAAGCCTTTTAATTTTCCTTCGTCTTTTCACAAATATCTAACAAGCAATTATAATTTGTAGAGCTATTGAAAGCATGGTCCCTGGACCAGAAGAATTAGCACCACTTGGAGCTTATTAGAAAAACAAATTCTTGGGCCCCAACTCAGACTTACTAAATCAAAATCTCTGAGGGGTGGGGCCTTGAGTATGTTTTGGTTTTTTTTAATCACTGTATTATTTTTTTCATCATGGTAAGTGTACTTTTTAATATTTATTTACTTAATCTCTACACCCAACATGGCACGTGAACTCACAACCCTGAGGTCAAGAGTCACAGGCTCCTCTGCCTGAGTCAGCCAGGCGCCCAGGTAAGTGTACTCGTTGATCCCTGTCCTCCTTTTCACCCATCCCACCCCTCACCACCTCCCCTCTGGTATATACTGCATTCTACATAGTATAGTCTCTGTTACATCCTATATTCTTATAATAAAATAAGTCAGGGGAGAGAAAACATTAAGAAAATCGTACAGAAAATATGTTCAAAGCATTAGATTTATAAAAAAAAATCCACATTGGGGCGCCTGAGTGGCTCAGTCAGTTGGGCGTCCAACTTCGGCTCAGGTCATGATCTCGCGGTTTGTGAGTTCGAGCCCCGTGTCAGGTTCTGTGCTGACAGCTCAGCCTGGAGCCTGCTTCGGATTCTGTGTCTCCCTCTCTCTGCCCCTCCCCTGCTCACGCTCTGTCTCTCTCATTAATAAACAAATGTTAAAAAAAATTTTTTTTTTTAAAAATCCACGTATAGGTGGACCTGCGTGGTCAAACCTATATAGTTCAAGGATCACGTGTATCTTTTTTTTTAACCTATTCAAGGCTGGAATAACGTTGTTATTTTCTTGTCAATACTATCAAACTTTTGGCCAATCTTGAACTGCTTTAAAAGGAGTGGCTACTGGGCACCTGAGTGGTTAACCATCCGAGTCTTGATTTCAGCTCAGGTCATGATCTCACAGTTCCTGAGTTCAAGCCCTATGTCTGGCTCCACATGGTCAGCGCCGAGCCTGCTTGGGATTCTCTGTCTTCCTCTCTCTCTGCCCCGACCCTGCTTACTCACTCACTCTCTCTCAAAATAAATAAATAAACTTAAAAAAAAAAAAAAAAAAAAAAAAAAAAAAAAAAAAAAAAAAAAAGGAGCGGTTATGATCTAAAGATCCAGAAGTCGACCCTTCACGTATACTAACACCTGAGTTTAAGAGTGGTCCTTTTAAACACACACACAAAGCTCAACTAATCATCACATGACTGAAATGATCTTCAATTTCAAAAGCAATGGCTTCACATGCAGTCATAAAATGCTTTTACTTCATCTAATTTAATTCAAGTTAATTTCACAAATAAGGCAAAAAGATCTTCCCCCAGATGAATTTTTATTTTCTAATTATGTGTACAAAGCAGGAGAAAAGATAAATTCAGATAAAACACCACTATTCCTTCTCCTCCCACTAACTACTGAACTGGAGACGATTCCCCTGCCAAGGACTTTTTCTTTTTTTTTCTCCTGCTCTCCCTCTCTTTTTCTTAAGTAGTCTCCATATCCAGCATGGAGTCCAATGTGGGGTTTGAACTTGTGACCCTGAGATCAAGAACTGAGCTAAGATCAAGAGTCAGATGTTTAAACGACTGAGCCACCCAAGCACCCAAGGACTATTTGTTTCAGTGAAGGTTCTGCTCATTCAGTCTTTCCCAGGGAACCAGGACTCTGCTTGTATACTGCATTAAGTAAGATTACATTAGCTATTCACCAAAGCCAAGTTAAATGATCCTGCTACTAGCCTTCCTGGTACGTGGGAAAGTTCAAGGAACATGAGCTTATGAGTCAAAAGGGCAAGATTTTTTATTTTCTTTTTTAAGTTTATTATTTTGAGAGACACAGAGAGCAGAGGAAGGGCAGAGAGAGAAGGAGAGAGAGAATCCCAGGCAGGATCCATGCTGTCAGCATGGAGCCCAACGTGGGACTTGAACTCACAAACTCTGAGATCATGACTGAGCTGAAACCAAGAGTCAGATGTTTAACCTACTGAGCCACCCAGGTACCCCCCACCTTTAAAAAAAATTTTTTTAAGTTTGTTTATTTTGAGAGACCAAGAGAACAGAGGAGGGGCAGAGAGGGAGAGGGAAGGAGAGAAAAAATGGCATGGTTTTAAAGGCAAGCACTGTTTTCCCATCTGTAAAATGAGAGTATTACCCACTCCATAGAGTTAAAAAGGTAAAAACACGAAAGCTTTAGACAGTGTATCTGGGACATTAAGGAGGACCGTTCCCCTCCTTTGGTCATCTCTGTGGTGTGTTCGTCCAGGTGACCACTGTGTATTTTTACATTTTGTGGACTGATGTGTAAGACCATGGAAAATCCTTACAACACGCTAAGAAAAACAGGATATAAAACTGGATCTCAGTATGATTTCAACAAGTAAAAATAATACTTGACATCTTTTATAAATATAAAAAAGACTAAAAGGTAGTACATTGTCCTTTTTATCAATATAATGCAACATCAACGAAGGTATATGGGAAGTGGGACTAAAGGTTGATCTCTTAAAAAAACATTTCTCTTTTCTAAACATTAAACTAAGTAACTTTTTTAAATTAACAAATGTTAGCTTTTCTTCTCATTTGCCTAATATACATCTGTGGCCCTATTCCCAAGGAGCCCCCCACTTAACTGGCTCCTGGGCCACTCCCCACCCAGACTGCAGCCTGAACCCCCGCCCCATTACCAATGACGCAGCTCACCTCTTCCGGCACGTACCGCCTTGAAACAAAAGAATGAACCCAACTACATAATCTACAGGATTGCTACCAGAATCCTAGTCCAGAAGAGATACTACCACACAGCAGTGCCAATGAAATGCTCTCCAAAAAAATTTCTCAATCTTTTAAAAAAAAACAAAGCAACTTACTGCTATCGTTCTAGTCTCCTGCTCTTCCAGCAAATGGAAGGGAAACAAGAGGGGCAATATACGACATAGAGACACAAAGAAATTCTTCCACTGTTGAAGGCTGCCCCCAGCCCAAAGTAGCTGTTTTGGAACAAGTCACCTAAAAGTCTGGATGCTTAAAACAACTCACGAGCACAACGAGCAAAGCACTCCTACGTACGAATCATTCAGGGTGCAACAGTTTTCTGCCACGTGGCAGGAAACGCCCCTGGTTCCTGGGGAGGCTGGAGACACATTCAGCAATCTGTTTGTTTTTTTTTTTTTTAATGTTCTTCACCTCACACAGAGGAAGAGCTCCAAAAAGGGCCTTCCTCGTAACTGTCTACTTTGTAAAAACCCAGATCGCCAGGATCTCTCATCTTTTGGAACTTATTTGGTTGTTCACACCCATAAACAGGTGATAATTATGTCAGTAAGCACATCAAGTATACCGCTTTACATGAACATTACGTAAACACCACATGTACAACAAGATTTTCTGGCTTAGCTAGGTGCTCCTGAAAAGGCTCAGGAACAAGAGGTGGCCCCTTTAGGGACAGAAGGCTAGGACAAGAGGTCACAACAGCTAAGCTGCTGTACCACCTACTGGGCTGGACGGGACTCCTTGCATTAAAAGCCAGCCTTACTGCTCCCATTTCCACGTCGATAGCAGCTACTGCCAATTTCTGTGCCCTCTGTACCTAAGAACTCTTCTCCAAGCCCAGCCTTTACAAAAATTTGGTGACCAAATCCCAAATAGCATTAAGATGAATTTTTTGTTTTGTGAGAAATGAACACCAAGAAAACACTACACCTGGGGGCGTCTGGGTGGCTAAGTAGACTGTATCCGACTCTTGATTTCGGCTCAGGTCATGATCTCACGGTTTCATGAGTTGGAGCTCTTTATTGGGCTCTGTGCTGACAGCACAGAGCCTGCCTGGGATTCTCCCTCACACTCTGCCCCTCCCCTGCTCACGCTCTCTCTGTCTCTCTCAAAATAAATAAACAAATTTAAAACAAAACAAAACCAACCACTACACCTTAAGCACGCAAGGGCAACCTCAGACACATACAGAAGAGAGAACAGGCACTTCCTCCTCACCTGAGCAATGGCTGCTTCGTTATCAGCCAGTCCCAATAAAAAGATCCTCACTTTGTCGATCTTCACCGGAACCGTCCTCCCTCTCCACTCCACTTCACTCATGGTGGCTGCCTGTTTGGCTCGAGTCTGAGTGATCAACGCCTGGAAAGTAGTTTTAAAAAATTACAGTTTTAACTGGTGATGGTTAAAGTAAGTAGAAACTACTAGTTGTCTGTTTCTATAATCAACACTGTTCACTTTCCAAAGCAGAATATAAATTGTACTTAAATAATTCCTCCTTGGTTATCATCTATCTTAGCTTACAGAAACTCAAACATTAAAAGAACATAACTGAGGGGGCGCCTGGGGGGCTCAGTTGGTTAGG